ATATATATATATATATATATATATATATATATATATATATATAGAATACACTATGTATATAGTGTATGCACATCGCATGTATACTTAGGTATACACCTCAATCGCAGGCCCCATTGAATAGACAAAAACCCTCATACAAACGCACCCCACAGGGGCGCCTAAGGCCCCTGTGGGGGCCCCCTAGGGCCCCTTCGGGGGCCCCCTTGAGGGCCTTCTCGAGGTCTCCCTGGGGCCCCTTACGGGCCCTTTTTAGGCCCTTAAGGTACCCCTAGGGCCCCCATAGGGGCCCCCTCATTGGGGCCCCCGTCCCTTAGGGCCCCCATAAGGGCCCCATTGTGCTCCCTTTGAACCCTCAGGGCTCCCCTATGGCCCCCCTTGAGGCCTTTGAGGCCCCCGTAAGGGCCCCCCTGTGCTCCCTTAACGCCCTCAGGGGCCCCCCAAGGGCCCCCTTATGCTCCTTTAAAGCGCTTAGGGGCCCCCTTGTGCTCCTTTGAAGCCCCTGGGGGACCCCCTTAAGCCCCTTTGAGGCCGTTGGGGCCCCCTGGGGCCCCTCCAAGGGCCCCCCTTGTGTTCCCCTGAAGCCATTAGGAGCCACTGGAGCCCCCCCCTTAGGCCCCTTTGAGGCCGTCGGGGCCCCGCCCCCTAACGCTTTTCCTCGTCTTTGTCTTTGGGGGTGCGTGTGTTTGCTTTGAGCGAGATTTGTTTGTATATTATATGATTAGTGTTGCTGCTGTTGTTGTTATTACGTAAAGAAGAAGAACATGATATAATAATGTAAATTAATTACTTATTTGCTGCACTCGTGCTGGGGCTAGTAGAGTGTATATCCCGCCCAAAGACAGCTGTCTGCACCCACCCTTCGCAGCATCGCCAAGCAGCTCTATAACTAAATTGTAGCTGCAAGTATACGAGCTTCCACACTAAGCTATACGGGAGGCCCCCTATAAAGGTCCCCACAGGCAGCTCAAGGGCAGCTGTCCCTTCACCTAACAGACACAGAGAGCCCTTCCATGTCTCTACAAACGCAGGTAAAGGGGGGCCCCCTAAGGGGGCCCCCTTGGGGGCCCCCCCTCTTGTTTTAGGGCCTAAATATGTGTTGAAAAGTAATGCTAAATACTTCCCTTCTTGTCGTGCGTTCTGAGCTGTGGGTGCGGGGCTCATATAGCGGCCATCGATCTCCTGAAGGAGACAGAAGAAAGACAAAAGGAGACAGATATATTGATGAAGACATAAATATATATAGGAGACAGCACACAGATATATATATATATATTTATTTATTTATATAATTGAGGGGATCAGAAAATCGAGCATCAAAGACAAACGCAAGGGAAAAAAAGCAGCAGAGATGGCAGCAGCAGCAAGAGCAGCAACAAGAGCAGCAGCTACAGCTACAGCAGCAGCAGCTCCAGCTACAGCGGTAGCAACAAGAGCAGCATCAGCAGCAGCAGCGAGAGCAGCAGCAGCAGCAAGAGCCCTCCCTCTTACCTTGAGAAGCTCAGTAAACTGTTGCAGGTTTAAGTTATCTCGTGCTTCAATATTTTCAAGCTTGTTTCGCTTAGGGTGTAGCTGGGGAAACAAAGTAGATAAACGGGCCCCATTAGCCAGCAGCCACTCCGTCCCTGTACACTCAAACGCATGCATTCAGGTGTATGTGCATATGTGCATGCATGCAGGTTTACGTTTGCACGCATGCAGTTAAATGAAAGTACGCCTCTCCTTCGATTCGGCATCTGTCTCTGCTCCTGTTTCTGTTGTGTTGTTGTTTCTCTCTCTGTCTCTGTCTGTCTGTCTGTCTCTATCTATCTATATATCTATCTATCTATCTATCTATATATATATATATATATGTCTGTCTGTCTCTGTCTCTGTCTCCCTCTGAATAATTGTCTGCTGCTCTGTCCCCTCTTTGCTTGTTTTTCAGTCTCTTTTTATTATATTTTTAGTATAACGGCATTTAATGCTATTATATATATAATAATAAAAATAATTATTATTATAATAATTATAATTATTATTATTTCGTTCTTACCTGCTCCCTTATGACTGTCTCCTTTCTTCGCCAGATTGAAGAGTTGCTGTGCATACACCTGAAGAGGGGGCGGCTGTATGCAGCAGCAGTCTCCTAAAGCAAAAACATTATTAGTTCCCAGCACTTGAAGATTAGGAGAGACTAACAAACGCTGCGGGCGTACTTGCTGCTTTAAACCCTTAGCAACAGACAGAGCTAGCGAAGTTGGGCGTACACCCGAAGCCCATAAGACAAACCGAGTAGGAATGCATTCATCAGTTGCTGCTGCTGCTGCTGCTGTTGTTGTTGTTGCTGGTGCTGGTGATGTTGCTGCTGCTGCTGCTGCACCTGCTGCTGCTCCGCCAGCAGAGGTGCCACCTCCTGCTGCTGCTGAACTGTCTTTCGATGCGCCTCCACCTCGAGTTGCTGTTAGTGTGTCTCTTACTGCTGCAGTAACAGCAGCAGCAGCAGCAGGCTGCATGCGTCGAACCTGCACGTGGCTGGGCCCCACAGCAACTACTCGAGCATTAAGTCTTAGATCAACCCCGCTCTTAGAGAATGTATTTCCTAAAGATTGCTGCACTTGTGTATTGTACATAGGGAGAGGCACTGAACCCATCTCGAGCAGCACAACTTTGAAATATTGCTGCAGCTGCGGATACACCCGAGCGCCTGTGGTGTTTAAGAAGTCTTGTATCTCTGCTGCTGCTTCTACACCCGAAGGCCCCGCACCAACAATAACAAAAGTAAGAAGCTCTTGTCTTTCTTTTTCAGATATGTTTGCACTTGCTGCTGCCTCTAAACAGCACTTAAGCCTCCCTCTGATCCTCTCTGCGTCTGCTGCTGTCTTAAGAAAGAGTGCATGCTGCTGTACACCAGGGATATTAAAAGTATTAACTTCAGACCCAACACCAAGTATTAAATAATCATAAGCCTCTTCCCAAGACCCCCTCTCTCCTGAAGACGAAGTCTCTGCAAGTGACAGCACCGGGCGACATACAACTCTATTATTATTTAAATCTACATTATCTACAACAGCTTGATAATAACGTCCTCTCCCCTCAGCCTTCCCGCCAAAAGAAAGAAGCCCTCTTAAACTTGTTGTGCATGCAGCAGCAGGCAAAGCCCCACCACATACACATGGAAGCAAAGGAGTATAAGATAAATGCTCTTCCGGCGATATCCACACAACTTCAAACTGACGAGGGTCTAGAGACGAAACAAACGATGATGAAGACCAACCACCACCCACTACAACCACCCTAAGCCTCTTCTTATTCTGAAGCCCCTTCCCGCTCTCTGCTGCTGCTGCTGCTGCTGCTTCTGCTGCTTCTGTTGCTGTTGTTGCTGTTGCTGTTGTTGGTTCTCTCTTCTCCTCCTTCATCTGCCCCCCCACACTATCTTTCTTTGTAGCCTCATCAAAACTCACAGGTAAATCTAGTAAATGCAAACGAACCTGTAAAGAAGTCAAAAGGTTTCGCATGCGCCATCGCGCAGCAGCAGCATTACCGATTGCTGCAGGAGGCTTCTGTAACCAATCCCCCAAAAAACCAGGCTGCTGCTGCTGCTGCTGCTGCTGCTGCTGCTGCTTGTCTCCCCCGTTGCTTCCTCGTTCCTTACACGCTGCAGGCACTCCAGAAGAGCCCAACCCCCCTCCTGAAGCCGCAAGGGCTCCCCCCAAGTAGCGGAGGGCGCGGAGGCGATTCATTGGAGTGTATGTACACCTCGAAGCCTCAACAAACCGAAAATTTGCTTCGATTTAAAATGCATTAAACAAAGACCGGAATCATACGCATGCATCTGCATGCAGCTGATGATGTGCAGCAGCACACAGCAACAAACACACACATAAGAGAAGAGGTTTTGCTGCTGCAGGTGAGTATGCTGCAGCGGTAAGAGAAGGAAGAAAAACGTAAAAGACAAAGCCAGACAGATACCTATCAGCTTCTAAATGATATAATATAGTAAAGAAACGTACTTTGAAACTCAAAGAGGTTGCTGCAGCTCACCAGCACAGAGAAGCAGCTGTACATACACCTGAAGATGTACACGGTGAGATGTAGCTGCGGGGCCTTCCTTCTGGATATAGAGGGCCCTTCTTTCATACAATAAATTGATTTATTTCAATTATTTTATTGAAAATAAGGAAAGATAAACAATAAAAACTAAGTAAGAGGTTAATGGTTGGGGCTGGTAGCTGGGCAGCAGCAGTTCCGCTCTCGGTTTCTCTTCATGAAAAGCAGAGTGACGAAGACTATGAAAACTTTTTATTTTTAATTCTTTTATGCTTCCTTTTATCTTTTTTAATTATATATTATACATTTTTAATACAAATATCAACAAATAAGGCAACAGTCTGCGCTTTCTTGACATGCATGATGCACTTGCAAGCCTACCCTCTCCTCTGTCTACACCGATTGCTGCTGCTGTACAGACGCTTCGTCTATGAAAATAATAAATTAAACAGAAAAAGTTTAAGAGAGTTCTTCTGATTGACTCATATATATCTCTTGCAGTAGAATTACCCTTCTAGCAGAGTATGAAGGTAAGGGCACTTAGATATTTTATCTCAAGACATTCTTATAAGCTGCTGTCAAACTAAGAAGATTAAATAAGAAATATACAAAAACTTCTAACCTCTTCTTAACTCCCCGCAGTCTCTGGGTGCAGCGGCCCCAGTGCAGAGGCCTCAGGCGAAGGAGCAAACATGCAAGGGTGTATATAATATAGCTTTGCTTCTTTGCCTACGTTTCTACATAAACTTTTACTTAGCCTTACTACATTGCAGCTAATAGCAACTGCAGCATTTGTTGCTGTTGCTGCTGCTGTTGCTGCTGCTGCTGTTGCTGCTATATATATATATATATATATATATTATATATATATATTATATATACAGAAAAAGCTACTACTGCAGCAATAAATAATGCATGCAGCTGTCTCTACTGGACGGCCATCAGGGTGGTGAGGAGACAGTAAAAGATTTTGTTTTTTTTAATTTATTTATTATTTTTTAATCAATAATCATAATATACTCTAACAGCTATTTGTACGCTCACCAACTAAAATATATTACCCCTTCAAACCCTTCTGATATACACCTTAAAGAAGACTACTCCTAAATAAACAAACAAACAAACAAACTGCTGCTAAACATAAGACAAACAATGCAAAAAAATATCTTTCTACTGCTTTATTTTGTGGCTGCTCTCACAATCAACATAAAGCAGCAGACTGGCGATAGACACAGGCAGCAGCTGCTTCTAACTGAGGAGAGCGCTGCTGCTGCTGCTGCTGTGGCTGCTGCTGCTGCTGGGATGGATGTCTGTCGGACCAGCGCCAGCCTCGTTGTTCGAATGGGAACCCTAAACCCTTACTCTAAACCCTAAACCCTAACTCTAAACCCTAAACCCTAACCTTAGACCCTAAACCCTAGACTTAAACCCTAAACCCTCAACCGCGAGCTCGTAGCAACGGAGACAGCAGAAAAGCAAAGATAATAACTGCTGCAGGAGGCAACCACAAGGGATATAGCGTTCGGGCCTGAGCTATCGCTGCTGCTTGCTGCAGCAGCGCATGCAACAGGACTTTTAATCCAAGCCCCAAATATTCATATTGCATGCAGAGACGCCCTTAAGAAGTTCTTTTGTTCGGTTGTCTCTCGCCGCTAAAGGGCTCGCGGCAGCGTTGCACAGATCTGGCAGCAGCAGTAGCGGCCGCCACTGCCACTGCAACTGTTGCTGCTGCTGCTGCTGCTGCTGCTGCTGCTGCTGTTGCTGCTCGAGCAGCTAGTTGCATCTTTGTTCTAGTTCTGCTGCAGGTGTTGCTGTTGCTGCTGCAGGTTCTGCAGCAGCAACAAATGCTGTCTATGCAATACGCATGCCCCCATGAATTCTGTGTTTGGTGTACGGCGCCGAATGCTCAGCTGCGCATACACCCCAAAAAAGCAGCAACGGCAAACCCCTTTCAATATCCTCAGCAGCAGCAACAAAAGCAGCAACACAAGCAGCAGCAGCAGAAACAAAAGCAGCAGCAGCGGCAACAGAAGCAGTAGTAGGAACAAAAGCAGCAGCAGCAACACAGCAGCAGCAGAAACCAGAGCAGCAGAGCAGCAGCAGCAGCAGCAGAAGCCAGAGCAGCAGCAGCAGCAGCAGACCTATGAGGGTAATATTGCAGTGTTTGTTCCAATCAAGGCAGTCATTTGGGCCCTTCCAGCAGCTGCGGAGACAACAAAAACAGAAGAAGAGACACAACATACTTAGCTGCCCTACAGCAGCAGCAGCAGTGAAGTTAGAGACAGCAGCAGCACCAAATGCTGCTGGACACAGCAGCAGCAAAAGACACGAAGAAACAGCGGCTGCTGCAGGAGGCCCGCAGAGAGCAGCAACAGCTCCTGATCCGCAACAGGAAGAGCAGCAGCAGCACCAAGAGCAGCACCAGCACCAAGAGTACCCGCAGCACCAAGAGCAACAGCAACAGCAGCAACGACAGCAGCAACAGCAGCAACGACAGCAGCAACAGCAGCAGCAGCAGCAGCAAGAGGAGAGGACGCACCGCACGCCGTCCCCCAGCTGGAAGAAGGTGCAGCTGCCCCAAGCATTTTTAGTGAGTTTGAGTTTATCAATAATTTTAATTTTAATTTCTGACAGAGTCGCCTCCGGCTGTACACAGCAAAGCAGACAGCAGCAGCAAGTAAAAATACTTCAAAGGAGACAGACAGATTAAAAGGAGACAGACACCGCAGCAGCAATAAACGCTTAATCACCCCACATCGATATCTTTTACCTCTCTAAAGTGTGTCTCAGTACAAGTTTGCTGTCTTAATATATCCTGTGACTGCTGCTACTGCTGCTGCTGCTGTTGCTGCTGCTGCTGCTGTTGTTGCTGCTGTTGCTGCTGCTGCTGCTGCTGCTGTTTACCTCTACAAGGATTTCAAAAGGATAGCCAAAGGGCTCGCGGTCCCCAGGCGTTTGGTGCTGCACCAACAGCACCTGTACATACACCGCAACGCATACACACAAATGCATGCATGCTCAGCCTTCAACTAGCCTCCTCCCCACAGCTAGCTAGCTAGCTAGCTGGCTAGCTAGCTAGCCATCTGGACCCGGCATCTGCCGTTACGATGCACAGGAAAACAAACTGCAACACTCCCCTCTTTATCCCCAACTACCTAGTTCTCACTAGCTAGCTAGCTAGCTAGCTAGCTAGCTAGCTAGCTAGCGGCGTGTTCTGCTCACCTGTCTTGCCCCTGTGCGAATGAGTTCTTTTTCTTCAGGTGTATAGTCAGCTTCCAAGCGAAAAGGCACTGCTAAGAGATTTGATATTCCCTCTCTGCTGCGAGTTGGGGCTGCAGCAAAAACAAACAACGCGCCACCCCGTGCATGCAGAACAGCAGGCCACGCAACCGAAGCAGCAGCAGCACCAACAGCAGCAGCAACACCAACAGCAGCAGCATCAGCAGCACCAACAGCAACACGAACAGCTGCAGCAACAGCAGTAACAGCAGCAGCAGTAACACCAACAGCAGCAACACCAACAGCAGCAGCAACAGCAGTAACGGCAACAGCAACAGCAGCAGCAACAGCAGCAGCAGCAGACTCACAGGCAGAAGCATAGTGCGTAAGCCAGGATATTTCTTCTGTCATCGGTATCCTCAGAAGGTGAGCGCAATCAGAGATAGACAGTCGGAGGGGCCCCAACTCCTCTTGCATGCCTTTTGCCTCTGTCTTGTCTTCGTTTGCTGCTGCTGCTGCTGCTGTTGCTGCTGCTGCTTGGGTTGCTGCAGCGTTCCTGTTGGAATGGACCGTGCTGCTACCGCTGCTGCTGCTGGTGGTAGTGCTGCTGCTGCTGCTGCTGCTGTTTAAGAAGTCTTGTCTCAGCATGTGAAGAGTTGAAGGAGACAGGCGAGCGAGGAGATCTCTCTTTAAATCTGCTACGGTGTGGGGCCTCCCTTCGGGGCTGCATGCAGCAATATGCCCCAAGACGCAGCCAATGCGCTCAACTTGTCTGGAGAAGACGAGACAAATATATGTGAAGACAGTAGAGGGGAGAGGAGGGGGAGACGCATTTAGAGAAGCAGCAGCAGGTACAGGAGACGGCAGCAGCAGCTGCTGCAGCTGCTGCTGCTGCTGCGTAGGCAAAGCCGAGGTGTTGATAATACGCGAATATAGACGGAAGTGGCCGGGCAGGAGACACAAATGAAGCTCGCGAGGTAGCCGTGCTGCTGCTGCTGCTGCTGCTCCTGGTGCACCTGCTGCTGCTGTTGCTGCTGCTGCTGTTGCTGCAGCAAGAGTTCTCCTCCTGTCCAGACACCCGGGCCAAGACTGCGCTGCCTGAAGCTGCATATACAGCTCATCGAGGGTGAGTTGCTTCTTAGAGGGTGTCTCTCTGTCTCCCCTTTGCACAAGCATCATCTGCTGCTGCTGCTGCTGCTGCTGCTCCCAGGAGACATCCGAAGAAGAGACAAGCAGCGCATCTATATCAAGAGGCACCACCTTTCGTGAAGATAAAAGAGGAGGCTCAGGAAACAGCAGCAACTGACACGGGTCGACTCCGAAGTGCCACGCGATCCACTGCAGCGCCTGCAACAGCAACAACAAGCAGCAGCAGCAGCAGTATATGCAGCAGCGGTATATGCAGCAGCAGTATATGCAGTAGCAGTTTATGCATGGAGGGCTCTCCCGCTACTGCTGTCACTGCTTCTGCTGCTCCTTTGTTGAGGCAGCTGCAGCTGCATGCAGCAGCAGCAGCAGAATCTGCTGCTGCTGCAGCAAGAAAGCAGGGAAAAGGGTTTAACAGTACAGCGCAGCAGCAGCCGAGCGACATAGACAAGCAAGTGTGAGGTCCTCCAGGGGAGACAGCATTTGAGGAGCAGCAAAGCAGCAGCAGGAGACAGGACACGCAGGGACAGTGTTGCTGAGAAGGCGTTTAGGGTTTAGGGCTTAGGGTTTAGGGTTTAGGGTTTAGGGTTTAGAGACACACGCGTCTGGCGGGGAGCCTTCCGTTAAGAGAGAACTCCTTAATGCAAATAGGTTTTGTCTTAGGCATATGCAGCCAAATGTCTTCTGTAATAGGAGGAGAAGGAAGGGTCTCCTCAGGTGTCTCCTCAGCTTTTGGTTTGAACCCGATATTCTCTTTGCTGCTGCTCTCGCTAAGAGGGGCCAGTGTTGCTGCGCTGCCTGCTGTGGGGTGCTGCGGCAGCAAAGGAGACACTCCAGGTGTCTCCTCACCTCCTTGCATGCAGCCCCCTTCAATAAGCCCCATTGAACCCACAGAGTTCTCAGATAATAAACTACAAGATGTCTCTACACCCGAAAAAGAAGCAAAAGAAGGAGAAGCCAGCAGACACCCCGATGAAGACATCACCTTCCCCAAAAACTGAGCCCACACACACACATTATATATATATATATATTATATATTATATATTATATATATATTATATAGATGTATACATATTATATATAGAGATATACATATATATATATATATATGTACATTGCATGCATAGGCATTATATATATTACAGTGCAGATAAACAGCATATAATATGTGCATATATATATATATACATATATATGCATGTGCATGAGTGCATATGTACTATATGCAATATATAAAGCAAAATTATAAATATGGAGGGCGAGAAGGCTGGTGAAGGAGACAGTGAGTCTCCTTGAGGAGAGAGGAGACAGGTAAAGACAAAGACAGGAGACAGTGCTGACACAGTAGGGAGCAGACTACAGCACAAAAAAGAGAGAAGAAAGAGACACTCTGTCTCATCTTAGACGAAGAAGAAAGGAGACAGTTAGAGACAAAAGAGAAAGGAGACAGTTTGTCTCCCTCGAAGACAAGATTAAAAGGAGACAGTTTTTATGCTCCAACATAAAATAAAACAAGGAGACACTTAATCTGGAGACAGAAAAGACCACCCATCACGCAAAAACCAAGAGAAAGGAGACAGTTTATCTGTCTCTAAACAGAAGATAAAGAAAGTAGACAGCCTCTCTGCCTCCAGACAAAGACGCAAGGAGACAATTAATATGTCTGTAGACAGAAGATAAAGAAAGGAGACATTATCTCTGTGCATTAAAAGAAGAAAGGAGACAGCAGATCTGTTTGTAGACGAAGATAAAGAAAGGAGATAGTGTCTCCTCCGACTAACCTCGAAGGGATCGTAGAGACGAACATGATATATTTCTGTTGTCTGAAGATCTGTACAAAAATTAACAAAGTCTATTGCAATTTGCTGCGGAAGAGGAGGAGGAGACGGAGGGATACACCCCCCATGTGCAGCAGAGACAAACTGTAGCAAACTTAATCCTCGTACTTCTTTAGGGGGCCCCCCGGCCCAGGGTACAAGGCAAGAGATATTCTCGCCTGCTGCTGCTGCTGTTGCTGCTGCTGCTGCTGCTGCTGCTTCTAAACATGCGTGTCCCTCTTCTGCTGCAGAAGAGGGACTGTATGACTGCAGCGGCAGCAAATCCTCCGCCCCACACCCCACATGCTGCTGCTGCTCTCTGTACTTCTCTACTGCAGCAGGTAAATCTAAAGAGTAAACCAGCAGATCCCCTGAGAATATCTAAAGGAACATTTAAACAAAACACAAACAAACAAACAAACATATCTTTAACAAGATATACCGGAAAAAACAAACAAATGTATGCAGCAAAGACACCCAAAGGAGACAAACAGAGACACATAAGGAGACAACAACAAACAAACAATTAAAAAAAAGAAGATATAAACGCAGATAAAACAAACATAAAAAACATAAACAGCTGTACACATCAAAAGGAGACAGACACCCGAACACAGACACCACAATGCCCCACACTGTCTCTAATTAATTAATTGTCTCCTTCAGATCTGTCTATGCACACGTGCATGCGTCTGTCTCTTTTCTGTCTCTGTTCATGCAGTAAGTACATCAGCCGTACTCGGCAACAATAAATAAAAACAAATATAAATAAATAAATAAATAAATAATAAACAAACAATAAATAAAAAAAACCAGGCCCAGGATGCACGCGTGATGTTAAATGCAATATTTTATAGAAGATAAAAAAGAGATAGATAGAAAAAGAAAAAAAAGGAGACAAATGAAGAAGAGACAGAAAAAACAGAGACACATAAAGAGAGGCGAATGAAGAGGAGACAGAAGAAAGAGAGCAAAAGGAGACACCTAAAGAGAGACAGATAAAGAAGAGACAGTAGAAAGAAAGCAAAAGGAGACACCTAAAGAGAGACAGATAAAGAAGAGACAGTAGAAACAAAGCAAAAGGAGACAGCTGAAGAGACATACCCTAGAGTTGCGGAGTGTCTTTCTTGGGGTTAGCCGATTATTCTGCATTTTGTCTGTAGCTTCAAGCTCTAAGCAAGCACTGAGCTGGAGCGAGGAGACACCTGAAGGAAGGGGCCCTGCTGCTTCTGCTGCTGCTGCTGCTGCTGCTGAGACCCCTTGAGTCCACTGTAATGACGGGTGATTTGCTGTGGGGTCAGCGAAGGGCTGCAAAGGAGAAGAGAAAGGAGAGCAAGAAGAAAGACGAGGTAAATTTAGAGGCAAGAAGGAGACAATCCGCGAAACCTCAGCAGCACGTGCTGATCCTTCATCTATTACTCCGTCTTGCATAGCCTGATGAATTAAGCGGTATACATGAGGCTCAAGGTCCCGCTGTACATACACCGCAAACGCAGCAGCAGCAGCAGCAGCAGCAGATGCAGCAGCAGCAGCAGATGCAGCAGCTAATGCTGTCTATACACTGGAAACGGGGACAGAAACAGCAGCAGCAAACGCTGTGGATACACCGCAATTACGCAGATGCAACAGCAGCAAAGGCTGTACATACACTGCAGCAGCATGCAGCAGCAGCAAAGTTATTTCATACGAACAGCAGCAAACTCACGGTGCTATGCATATACACATACACCCCAATAAAGAGAAGAGACACAGCAGCAGCAACTCAACAGCAGCAAAACGAACAACCCAAACTGCTTCAAACAAAGAGAGACAGACAATGTTAATAAATAGAGACAGAAGTATTCTACAAAAGATAAAAAGGGTAAAATAATAAAACAAACAAAAGACAGAATAACACCGTAAAAGTAATAAAGATAATATAATGAATCGAACAGACGACAGACAAGAAAGTAATGAAGATAACCTATTATATCAAACAAAAGCCGCAATTATAATACTAAAGGATTATAAAGAAAATATAATTAATCAAACAAGAGACAGCTCTATTATATAAAAGAAACTAAAAGGCGAGAAAAGAATAGTGAGAGACTAACAACCCTCCATTCGTAGGAGACATAAATAATGTCGAGACAAATAACAAAGTCCTCCTCAGAGTTTTTTCCTGTCTCCTTCCTTGCAGCACCATGCTGCAGCAGTATCTGCTGTTGCTGCTGCAGTTGCTGGAGCTGCTGCTGCTGCTGCTGCTGCTGGTTGGAGACGACATGCCCTGTCTTGTCTATATGCACATCTCTTGCAGCTCGAGCGTAAGCAGAGAAGTACTTAATGAAAAGGAGACACCTAGATCTAGCTATCTCATCATGTTGAGAGGGCCCCCCTATAAGTGAAGGCTCAGGAACAGCTAAAATATACAAAGCCATCTCAGTCCCTCCACCTGTCCCCTTTCTCCGCAAAATGTCTCCTAAATATGAATTGGGTGTCAGCTCTAGAGGCTCAAATCGAGGAGACTCAGGAGAGCTACCCATCAAGTGCAGCACGAACTGCATGCGCGGCGATCCTGCTGCTGCTCCTCCTGTTGCTGCTGCTGCTGCTGCTGCTGCTGCTGCAGGGGTAGCATTGTCGCCGCTGCTGCTCCGCCCCACACCCTCTCGAGGGCCTCCTCCTCCACCGTACAGCATTCGAGACAATTCATGCGTTATTGATGCATGCAGCTGCTGCAGCAAATCATCTCTACTTTGCTTCAACTCCAACATCGGAGGGATAGATAAATAAGGAAGCTCTAGGAAGGGCCGATATTTAAACTGCAAAGGATGATACACCTTCACCCTAAACGCATGCAGCAGCAGCAGCAGCAACAGCAGCAACAGCAGCAACATTAAGCGCAAGAAGCAGCAGCTGTTGCAAAAGTGAGCACAAACAGCAGCAACAGCAGCAGCAGCACTGAGCACAAACAGCAGCCACAGCAACACTAAACAAACAAACAGCAGCAAAAACATTGAAGACAAGCAGCAGCAGCAATGCAAAAGATATGCACCAGCAGCAGCAGCAACGTGGAGACAGCCATAGCCAAAGCAACGACAAGGAGACAGAAAAGAGACAAAAAGGAGACAGGAAGGAGACAGCAAAGAGACACAAAAGACACATATGAGAGACACAAGAGATATGAAAGACACATAAAAAAGACAAAAGGAGACAAGAAAAGAAAGACAAAAAGACAGAGGAGAAAGACAGAAGAGAGACATAAAAGAGACAGCAAAGAGAGAGCAAAGAGACAGAAAAGAGAGAGCAAAGAGACAGAAAAGAGATAGAAGAGAGACACAAAAGAGACAGCAAAGACACGCATGAGGGCCTGCCCACCGGACAGTCTTTTCAAGCGCGTTTCGAATCGAAGTGCGAAGCCGCCTCAGCTGCTCCTCAGCCCGGCACCGATTCAGTATTTGGGGATTCACCTGCGCATACACCCGAAGGAGACAGTTAAAGGGAGACAGTTAAAAGGAGACATTTAGAAAGAGAAAGAAAGAGACAGTTAAAAGGAGGCAACTAAAGGGAGACAGTTCAAAGTAGACAGCTAAAAGGAGACAGCCTGGAGGAGACAGATGTGGGGAGAAAGACAAATAGAGACAGACAAAAGGAGACATCGAAGAGGAGACAGCTAAGAGGAGAGGCGACAGGTAAAAGGAGACAGCTAGAAGGAGAATAGTGGAGGAGACAAATGAGGGAGAGAAGAACGAGGGGTCAGCGAAGCAAAGACAGCCAAAAGGAGACAGCTTCCGACCCCGCGTCCCTACGGCCCCACAGCAGCTGCAGCAACCCCAGTCGAGTGTACATACACTCGGGAGGCGCTCAGGCAGGAGCAGCAAAAGGAGCGCGACAAACAGAGCAGCAAATGCAGCAGCAGCAACAACAAAGGCAATAACATCAGCAGCAGCAGCAGCAACAACAGCAGCAGCAACAGGCCCTGCTGCTTGCCTTTAAAGGGCTGCAATCAGCGAGGAGTGTGGGGGCCTGAGCTTTGTTAACGTAGACAAGGATGTAAGCATTGTACGGTTTGTTGCGCGTACGGGGCTTCCTCTCTCCTGCACACAAACCCTAAACCCTAAACCCTAAACCCTCAGCACGAACGGGTAGCGCCTCAAGCCCAGCAGCAGCAGCAGCAGTATGGGGGAGACAGACACAGCAGCAGACGCAAAGGAGACAGCTTTTGCAGCAGCAGAGCATGAGGCTTGCGAGCAGAGACAGGACAAAGACAAACGGAGACAGGTAGCAGCAGAAGAAGAGACAACAGAGACACCGTAAAGGAGAGGAGACACCCAGAGAAGAGACAAACCCCTCAGGTAGTTATAGCACTCCAACTCCTCGCCCCCAAAGTTGTCTCCTATAGCCGCATATTCACTGACATGATAGACCTTCTCATCATCAAACCGCATCCTACACACAGCAGCAGCAGCAGCAGAAGCAGAAGCAGCAACAGCAGCAGCAACAGCACAAGCAGCAGCAAAGAAGGGTGTAAGCTGCGCCTATCGGCTGTGAGGGGAGGAAGACAGTGGAGACAGAAAAGAAGAGACAAGAAAGATATTAAAAAAGAAATGAAGGAAAGAGAGACAGAAAGACAGAAACAGGGCGGTGCTGTGGGGACGCTCTCAAACCCTAAACCCTAGACCCTAAACCCTAAACCCCAAACCTTAAACCCTAAACCCTAGACCTCAACCCTTAAACCCTAAACCCTAGACCTCAACCCTTAAACCCTAAACCCTAGACCCAACCCTTAAACCCTAAACCCTAGACCTCAACCCTTAAGCACTAAACCCTAGACCTCAACCCTTAAACCGTAAACCCTCGAAGACCTCACCACTGAGTGCCTGGGGCTGGCCTTAAGAAGGAGTAGTAATGACCGGAGTTTACATCTCCCTGGTGTACAGACACCGAATGCAGCGTATACACCCCAGCGCCCTCGCAGAATTCATCGAGATCCAACTCCCTCTCGAACTCATACCTGAGAAGCACGCACCTAAACCCTAAGCCCTAAACCCTAAGCCCTAAACCCTAAACCCTAAGCACTCCCAGCTGGTCAGACCCTAAACCCTTAACAAAACCGCAATGAATACCGATCGAGGCATGCAATGAACGGCACTTGAAGAAAGACGAGGTGGGGCTAGGGTTTAGGGTTTCGGGTTTGGTGTGGAGCCCTAAACCCTAAACCCTAACCGCAACCACAAATAAGAGATAAAGGGACAGACAAAAGACACACAAAGAGGCTGAATGCAATGGCTATGACAGAGGCAAGGAAGGGGAGAGAAGCCCTCGAAGCAGAGACAACAACGAAAGGAAGAAGTTGAAGAGAGACAGTTCCTGCTGTCTGTCTCTGCTTTTGTCTCAGTGTCTTTCTCAATCTAAGTGCTTGTGTCTCTGTCTCTGTCTCCGACTCTGTCTCTTTCCCTCTGTCTCCGTCCCTTCGTCTCCCTTCTGTCTCCTGAGTTGAAGACCTTAATGATATTCAGCCTGTCTCCTTATTGTGTCTCTCTCTCGCTCTGTGTCTCCGCCTCTATTTCTCTGTCTGTCTCTTCCCTCTGTCTGTCTCTCTCTCTCTTCTTCCTTCCCTCTGCTTATCTCTAAATGCACCATTACTATTACTAATTATTAATTATTATTAATTATTATTTATTATTGATTATTACCTGTCGAAGACCTTAACGGCGTCCACTCTGTCTCCTCTCTCTATCTCTGTCTCTCTGTCTCTTTTTGCTTCTCTATCTTTAACCTCACTATTACATATTACTATTTATTATTTATTATTATTAATTATTTAATATAATTATTTAATATTATTATTATTATCTGCCGAAGACCTTAACGGTGTCCATGGTCTCTATCTCTCTGTCTCTTTTCCCTCCTCTATCATTAACCTCACAATTATTATTATAATAATTATTACTGTAATTAATTATTATTAATTAATTAATAATTATTAAATATTTATTTAATATTTATTATGAGTACCTGTCGAAGACCTTAACCGTGTCCATTCTAGCGAAATCGAAGTCAAACCGTTTGAGGAGGAAAACGCAGACAGGAGGAAATCGGACGAAGCGGATGCCCTTTTTAGCAGTTTGTTTGCCGTGCTGCTCAGCATCGTAAGCGTTGTCTCCTTCTAGAAGCTCTGGAGACACTAGGCGTTTAAGGCTTTCTTTAACCCCCGAGCAGCCCCGCACATCTAAGTTTATATCCTCAAACACCTCCTTTCTTACACTCTTATAATCCACATCTATACACTCTACATATGTCTCCATCTCCCCTTCAAACATACGCTTCACGCTACCCTCTGCTGGAGTCCCTCTCATCTGTTCTTCTACTTTATCTAGCAGCAACTTCAGCAGCTCATGTGTATCTTGCTGTGTAAATGCATCTGCTGGATCCCACCCAAATGAACGGATTAAGTCTTTATAGCCTACTGCTTCTCTTGCAGTAAACAACCTTACAAATAAATTCTGAAGAGCTAGAGATATAGGAGGAGGGGACTGTCTCCCTTTCTCTTCTTCGTGCAGCAAATCACGTATTTCGGCCTCTTCTAACTCTGATACATCTTCATCTGTCTCCTCCGAGCTCTCCTCAAGCATGCCTTCTCCTGTCTCTTCATCAACCTCTCCTATACCTTCACCTCCTCCTCCTCCTCCCTCAGCAGCAGCAGCGGCAGCACCAGGAGCGCCAGCTGTCTCTGTCTCTGATAGACTTGAGGAGGGGCTCTGCCCCTCCACATCCATGAGTCCCTCTGGCTGAGAGCTAATACCGTTGCAATCCCTCTCTTCTATATCTTCCTCTCCCCCAGCAGCAGCAGCAGCAGCTGCTGCTGCTGCTGCTGCTGCTGAAGGCCCCGGGGCCTCTCCGCGCTTCACCCTCTCCTGCCCCACAGCTGAGCAGCAGCCTCTGCTTCTCTTGCGTCTGCAGCGACGACGCTCTAAGACATCAACACTGCGGGGGCCGCACGTACTTCGTACATCAAAAGACAGAGCATAGACAGCCTCACGAAACTTCCCAATAAAGTAGAGAGACTGCAGCAGCGCATTCATATAACAGGTTGCCCCGTGGTTCCTAAGCCCCACATACCCACGGCCGCAACGACCGAGGCTCCCTGCTGCTGCTGCTGCTGCAGCTGCTGCTGTTGCTGTTGCTGCTGTTGGTGCTGGTGGTGATGGTGCTGTTGCTCCTCCTTCAGGGGCGTCCGACGCTCCTCCTGTTGCTGTTGCTGCTTCTGCTCCAGCAGCAGCAGCAGCAGCAGGATCGGCCTCAGAACTCTGAACAGCTCCTGCTGCTTGCTGACGCGGAGACTCAAGGTGCCCCTGATGTTGCTGCTGATGCTGCTGCTGATGTTGATGATGCATCTGGTGCTGATGGCGCTTAACGAGTGCGGCAGAAGTTTGCGCAGGCGCAGCAGCAGCAGCAGCAGCAGGAGCAGAAGCAGCAGAAGCAGCAGCAGCAACAGCAGGTGGTGCAGGGGGACAAGGAGTTCTTATCCTCCTCGAGACTGCAGCACATACAGGAGTGCAGCCAGCTCTAAGAAAGAGAGTAGAGCCCGAAGGCCCCCCGAAAAACCTGTCTTCAAGAAGCTCTTGATGAGAGACAAAGTGGTGCCAGCCCCTATCTGCATCGTCTACACCGAAATGATAAGTATCTTGCTTAAACAAACTTTGTCTATAATCAAGAGGATGAAGAACATAGATATAAAAACGTAAGCCGTGCTGAAACGCCCAGTCTTGAGGGAAGTCCTCTCTACGAGCTGTCTCTACAAACGCACCCAGCTGTCTCCTGTCTCTTCCGCTCCCTGATACTGGGGAGACAGGGTGCAGCATCAAGCGAAAACGAACAGCAGGTGTCTCCTTCCAGTCGCTGTACAGCGTCAGCAACTCCCCTAAAGAATCCCCTGCACCCCCACTGCCACCGCTGCTGCTGCTGCTGCTGCTGCTGCTGCTTCCATACCGCGACAAAAACCCTGCAACTGAGAAGTCTAGCTCCCATGCAGAAGGAGGAGGAAGCGACTTTAAAGAATAATCAGGAAGGGAATGGTGAACACCCTGCTGCTGCTGCTGCTGCTGCTGAGGAGGGGGAGGCGATATCGGAGCAGAAGGAGACAAAGCAGCAGGTCTACGGCAGACAGTTGGCTGCTGCTGCTGCTGCTCCTGCTGCTGCTGCTCCAGCTGTTGATCCATATCCGCACCATCCACGGGGGAAGCTGGAGGCGTCGTGTCTCCCTCCTCCATTGCTTGCTGCTGCAGCAGCAGCTGCTGCTGCTGCAACTGGTGCTGCTGCTGCTTCGACATTGTTGGGTGCAGCAGCCCGCACACCCCAAGGGGACAGGAGACACCCCCTTTGCTTCAAGGAGACAACAGCAACGCTGGCCAGTGCTCAGGGTAGAACTCGACAGAATCTGCTGCTGCTGCTGCAGCTGCTGCTGCTGCTGCTGCTGCTGCAAAGAGGCAGCAACGCAAGGACTTAAGGCTCAGGCATTGCCTGTCTCCCCGCCCTCTACTGCCATCCACTCTGTTGGGTTGGGGCGCCTCTCAGCAGCAGCTACGGGTGTCGATACACCTCAGCTACAACTGCTGTAGCTGCTCACGCTGCTGCTGCTGCTGATGCAAGAGACACTAAAAGGCGAGGAAGACGCCGAATCGTTCTGCAGCAAAAATTCAAACGCACAGCACAACTGTTTATGTGTCTCCGACAAGCAGCAGGAGGAGCAGCTGCAGCAACAGCAGTGCTGCTGCTGCTCTAAGGAATAATCAGGAAGGGAATGGTGAACACCCTGCTGCTGCTGCACTGCTGCTGCCGCTGCAGCAGCACACACACCCAATCCAGAGAAGTTAAGGCAGAACACAGCAGCTTCTCCCTGCTTACTGACACCGTGAGACAGTGTACAGACACCCCAACATCACTACAGCAGCAGCAGCACAGCCCCAACGCGCACTGCATCCCTCCGCATGCAACTCAAACAGCCATCATAACAGCAATACGTCAGAGACAACAAGTACTCCCCCCTCTCCCCCCCTTCTCCCCGCCTTCTTTGCGTTTCTCCTGTATGCAGATGATTAGCAGAGCCCTGCTGGTGTATCAGCACAACGGCTGCAGCATGCGACTCCCCTAACAGCTCAGGAGCTGCTCCCGTTATAATAAGGCTTTATAATTAGAAATAAATATAAAGAGAGTTAAACAATAAACAATTGTGGTGAAGCTTTCTATACGAAGGGGCTCTCTCTCGCCTGAGCTGAGGAGGCGGGAAGGTAAGACCCGCTGCCGCCTCCCTTGCTGCTGCGCCTGAGGACAGTTTGCTTCAGGTGAGAGATGCAGCAGCAGCAGCAGCAAAGACAGCAACACCTACCAGCAGAGAGAGGAGAAGAAGAGGTGGTGTTGTTTGCTACTTGAGCGCGCAGCTGCAACGGGTTGTTCTGCTGTCCTGGGGGTGTAGGGGGAAAGAGCTGCAGAAGAAGAGAAGAAGAAGATATTCATAAAGAAGAATACAAAGGCAATCGACAGCATCAAAACAATGCACAAGAAAAACTAACGAAAAGAGGGGTATGGTGCATGCGGCTGGCTGATGATGCCTGGCGGCGCTGCCCTGCTGCTGTGCTGCTCTGTATGTTTGTATGGAAGATATTGCATTTATATTCCACTAAAAAAAAAGAATATATAATACTGAAAAGATTAAAAAGCAGCTCTACTACATGCAAACAAACAACACAGACCCCCAGCCTGCTGCTGCTGCTCCTGAGGCGTCCCGGCACACAAACGCCGCCCGCTGCCGAAGCAGTGGTTATGCGTGGGGGCGCTTACGTAAACCAGCTGCAAACCCTAAACCCTAAACCCTAAACCCTAAACCCTAAGGAAACTGCCCTTCCACTCTGCGCAGACGGACCAACACAGCGACACCTACGCACTCTCACAATCCCCTCCCTCCCTGTACAAAGAGCAGCAGCAGCAGCAGCAACAGCAGCGGCTATTAAGCAATTTATGTGATGTAATGCACGCTGCTGCAGCAAGAACTGCACATCTTATTACTTCCACTGCCTCAGAACTACATGAATTGAGTTTCACTTATTCGAGACCAGGACCTGCTTGGGGAGACCTAACGAGCCGTTATTATAAAGTACGTTCTGTTATGTCTAGAGTGGGTCTGCTTATTACTCCTTGATTGCACGCCAACAGCGGAGGGTGAAACATACGTTTAAACGTTGTCTAGGGTGTTCTTTAGCCTCTGCAGCAGGGGGTGGCGTCGGCGTGTTCGTACGTGAGGTTGCCTTAGGGTAGAAGCTGCACAAAGGAACAGAGCAACTCATAACTGGCAGACTCCTCCCCGCACCAGCCTAGGCCTTTGTGATGCTCTATTCAGGGCGCCTGGAGACTGGAAGGCAGGTCAGGTGCTGTGGGGGGGTTCTTATCGTAGTTGTCTTGACTCTCTTGAGGTTGACGCCGGGCCGTTAAGGTCGAGGGTCCTTGTAAACTTCGATCTTATCACAGGTCCGTCGTGAGATGACAAAGCTTCCAAACATCGAGTAGGAATTCCCAGAAACAACTTATCTTTCCTCCCCCCAGCGTCCTGGTTACAGAGGACCAAGCGCTGGGGCTCGTGCTATGCGGGCCGGCCTATCATTAGTTGCAACCCACCGTACTGCACCTCTTGCTGCAAGGCGATCCCACATGCAAACACAGACAAGCCCCCTTTGGTGCACTCACTAACTCTGTAGACCAACTGATGAACAGTTACTTGCCACCTAGTATGCAGCCGCCACGCAAGTAGCAGTGCATGTAGCACCTCCAGGGAGGCAATGCTGCATCGAGGACTCTTGTTCCACTTAGGAGCACCCCATAGTTCAGAGGGGAAGGCGACCACTTCGAAACCCATCCTGTACAGCTACGCCTGCGACAGATGATAGGCCGGGTGTATAGCAATAAATAGTAATGGAGAAGTTTTGCTCAGCAGGGGAAGAAAAACGTTCAAACATTCCCCCCAAAATATTCTTCAAATATTCAGCACGTTTTAGGCTCAAGTTACTCCCAAAGGGCAGCCCCTGGCCTCTGGGGGTGTGGCTGGCGACGGCTGGGCGCCTCGTCGCATTGGAAACAGCGCACTATGCGCAGCTCATCCAGCTGAGAATGCTTCTACCGCCACAACCGTTCATCAAGAGTTCCCTCGCAGATGCAAAGCATCCAACTATGACGGGCTTCCTGATGCGGGAGTACTGCAGATATTTCTTGCTCCTGTGCTCCCGAAGACCTACAGCTGCTGCTTGCGTCACTTTATCAGAATGGGGGACTCGGCAGTGGTGGCTATGGTTAAGCAGGGTGCCATTTCCAGGAGAACACTTCAGGTATGGAAGCTTTCTGAGACGCACCGACGTCTGCTTTTCCCCGCATCGGCAAGGTAACACGGTATAGCAAAAACTGAGACAATGGAAGCCATCAAAAAACAAAGCGGTATGCGCTCTCCAACCTAGAGTCTTTCAGACTCTCCCGATTTTCAGACGGGTCTGGACGGATGTCCCAATGGATTTCACAGTGGGTTTTTCATCAGTAAGAGACTGTTGTAGCACTTGCCGTTTTGAATAGACTCAGCAAATGTGCTTACTTCATTTCCTTCATTTCCTTTTCGAGTTCACTTACTGCATAGGGACTGGCCAAACCATTGATTAATCCTCTTTGAAGGCTCAACAGTTCCTGAAAACCACCATTATTGACAGGGACCCCAATGGCGACTCCTGGCACGAATTGGTGAGGCAGGAGAATAGCGACTATAGAATGGTCACCGAAAATCTCCCGGAGGCATTCGCTCAAACTGAACGCACTAACAGCACTTTGGAACCCCATACTCAGCAAAATAAAAAAGAGACTTGGTTTCCTCCTTTGAGTGGAGTGCGTCAGAAAACAGCAGTATATTATTCTGGCTGTTTTTCACCGGCCTTCTTTGACTACACCGAAATACTGTTTCTCTTATGACGTTGGAAATGTTGGATAGCAACCAGCCTTGTACGCCCCCAACTGCAGCGTTCCATACACAACCTGCAGCAACTCGGGAATTGATACAGATTGAGCAGGAAAGCCATGCATGCAAGTATGGCAACCAAAGTCTATGCGATACTCTATGCGAAGCGTGCGGGAGGGCGAGCACCCAAATATGTTCGCCATGCGCCTTGGGGTCCTACGGCGTTCATTCATAGGTGAATGCTTCGGCCTCTATTGTGGAGCAACTTCCAATATGTAGGTGTAACCCTATAATTAATGTCAGCTTCTTAAGACGGTCCGGGTAATCACCGCAACTTCCTTGACCTCTCCGTCAAAGATTTTATCAACGCCATTGCGAGAAGCAGCAACTAAAGGGGAGTGAGATCTTGGCGGCGCAGAAGTCACCTAAAGTGAGAGCATCCCGTTAACTTCCTAGAAGGGAGGCAAATCGAGTGAGATTCATTCGATCACTTCTGCCATGCAATTCCTCGTCGCAATCTGCGCACCTTCCTGGAGACAGCGAGGGCGAATGCATGCGGGGGCATGCACGGCGCAGCGTAGATTAGGGCCCCCGTGTTGACAGTTTCCCTCCCACATATGTAGAGGTGCATATTCTCATATATCTACATGTTCGCCGGCGGTGATTATTAAACAGCTGTATTCACGACCTTCCTCTTTTTACTGGTAGCTGGCATAGCGTCACAGGGGGTAGCACTTCCATGCTGTTCCGTGTTTAGGTTGTGGGCCCCCATACATGAGCGAGCACCTCACCTCAGGCACGTTGATGCTGCTTTTAGGTGGCGGTTCGCAACATACTTTTGTTTTGGTTGGGATGCCCGCATTAAAACCCCTATTCAGCCCGTGGGCAAGGCACAGAGCGCCTTGCATAACCACTGGCCACGCCACTGAGCAAGCAGGTCGCAGCAAGGTGCGGGCCTGCACAAGCATGCGCAAATGCAAGCAACAGCGGCAGATGCTGTTAATACTTATACTGCTTATGAGTATGTTGCCACCCTCGCTTTTCACCTCACGTTTTTCTGGGTTCAGGGCTCTGCCCTCTCTCGCGCGTTCCTCTCCTTGCCTAGATCCTGGCCTGATAGACAAGGTTTTCCGCACTAAGTGGTCCCTTAAACAGTATTTCTAATTAATGTTTCAGGCGTTTGCGTTGGTGTGTAGGCCAGTGATGAGCAGATTTTCTTTGTCTTGCATAGTGAGTTTCTGGCCATCTGGAACTAATGCAAGGCCTGAAAAGAAGAGTATGTATGGATTCAAATATGTATGATGCGCTGAACTCTTTGGATATCTATTAGAACCTCCTAGCCTAGTTTCTGCGCGTGTCCTCATTTGAACTCCGTTTTCTAAATCTGGGTACACACAGGCGTTTCAACGTGTGTCCTTGGGCTTTTAGATTCTCCCCCATTGGCCTAACCCTTGTACGGAGCAGTCAGCGTCTAGTTTTCTGTCTGCGAAACCGGAAAGTATAGTAATAGCCGAGCAGAGTTACTGCCCACCACCTGCCCATGCCTCCGTACGTCGTAACTGCAAACCTTCTGAGTACCGCTGGCACCGCACTACTTGTTGCATCAGCGGACCCCTGGTTTTTCTACAAAGTCATAGGGATTAGGGTCTGCAATACATCTTGGCTGTACAACTCACACTGTTGGAAAGATCGCCGGGCTCCTTGCCGGATAACCAAATGTTATAGATAGCGTAGCGATGGCACGCTTGGTTTGCAGTTGGATATCACGTCCCACGTCTGTTACTGGTAAGATTGCAATGAATACAATGAGAATATTAGGGTTCCTGATGGATACGGTGTAGAATATTGAAGTAGCTCGTCTTCTACTCAAGATTGTTTCACTTAGATGCCTGACAGTTCATTTCTCTTACTCGCATGCCGTTGACTTTTTCTGTAATTGACGACCGAGTAGCTATTTAAGGTATTCAAAGAGGTATTTCTGTACTTAAGCAGTTTCTCCCTCTGCCAGATATAGTTTTCATGCTTATTTGAGGGAACGAGCAGCAGTCACTGCTGCGCACATCCCTCGTATATGGGGGAGGACGTTCGTTTCAAATGGCCTCTCTATAGCCCTATATCCGTATGCTACTGAATAGATGGTAACTGGATGCTTGTAAGTGAAAGCTATTGTTCTGTGCGGAGTTCATGAACGTCTCACAACCTTAGCTATACTTGTTGGGCAACTGCAAAACCCGGGGATTTTGACAGTTCCCTGCGTTTGTTTTTATGCGGTGAGGCGTTGAACGTTCAAAATATGGCGACTTTTTCATTCCACTTGGGTATCGTCTATATTGCGATGCTTCATTTGAATATTTATTTGCATGTGCATCTTGTCACCTGTCCAGGCTCAGCACTGCCGACACCGGGTGAAACTACCGGTGTCGGCCTCCCAGTTGAGCGTCTTCTGTGATTTTTACACGAATGTCTTCTTCCTCCTGTTTTCCGTTGCGAATTGTCCTTTTGAATGTTTGTGAAAGCAGAGAATTCTTAACTGTCGTCGATATTCATCGACGTTTCATTCCACAGCACGTTGGACCCGGCAGATGCCTCTCTTCGAGTGTCATCTCATATCCCCCCACACGCCTCATTAGGCTTAGCACTTCTACAGTAAAACTGTTGAATAGTTAGTGAAACTATTTCATTGAATGCCCTTGAAAATTTCAGGTTGCTGGGTGAAGAAGCGTACGGTCCGGTTTGGTGCAGAGTTATCTAATTGGAAAGATGCTGGCGTTCACTTTCGCCGCTCAGCCTGAGCTTTCCCAAGTAGATTACCGCAAATAATTAGTCAATGATTATTTACAATGAGTCTAAGGTTGACTTGAACGATGCTTGTCTTCTGTGGGGGGCAGCTCCTGACAGGCCTCCAGCTATCTTCATTGCCGCCGCGTGCTGCGCCTTCGGCTGCGACTGCTGACCGCAGACATCGTCGTTCATGTTCCACAATTATCTGGAAGTTCCTGTTTTAAATTGTTTTTTATGCACTGATATTACGGTAATTAGCCGTATGCACTGCTAACCATCACTTTTTAAGCCCGTTCTTCGTCTTGGTGCGGAAGACAGTACCGGTCTGGCTGGTGGGCGTCGGCTGTGTTCCAGTGAGCAGAGAGCGACCTCCCCTCTCTGTCCCGAATATATTATTCATTTTAGCGCACAAGTATTTCTCTATCTACAATGTGGATCCGAGACGCCTTTGTAGCTGTGCTGTTCGTTAGCAGCTGTGCGTTTTCGGCGGCGGAGCGTGCAGCGGACCTCGATGGCGTGAGCCCTTCAGTTCGAGAGCTTACACTGCCTCACTCCGCAGGCGCAGGAAACGTTGCGCCAGGAGAAACCCGAGACACCGCAGAAGCAGGTGCTCACCTGCGTGGAGTCGCTACGGGGGCCACTGGTGCAGTCGACAAGGACAAGGCAGAAAATGGAGTTTCTGTGGCGTCCCCTGCCTCCCACAGCCCCGAAGGAGAAACCGGCAATGAAGTAGCCCAGCCAAATGCAGTTGGTGCTCCTCTTTCCGCTTCTGCCTTATTTTCTGTCAGGGGCAGCAAGTTCTTGACTCTCGGGATAGTCCTGCTGATAGTCGGCCTCTTGTTGACAACGGCAGGGTCTAACCCAAATGCACGCACCCAGCCTTCGTCTACGGAAGAAAATGTACAGAAGGCTATGCAGCTGATGGACAAAATGGGAATCAAATCCGCCTCCAACCTAGCGATCGGGTACATCTGCGCCGGTGTAGTGGAGATATGGCGCGCTCTCAGAGAAAACCAAAATTCTCAGCCAGGACAGGCAGCACAACCTGCAGTTAGAGGCCGTCTGCTGCTATTTCTAGGCCTTGTTGCTTTCTTGGCTTCGCTATCCTCGGCAGGAGTCGATTTTGCAGCTCTCAATGTGGGTGCATTGCTACGAGCCCTCTTGGAGTACATCTCCAAGGCGCATACAGGCCTCTTCGCTGCAGGAGGTACGACCTTTATCAAGAGCCTTTATGAGGTGGCGCAACACCAAGGCAGTCTGCAGCTGCAGGGGGGCACTACCGTCGACAAGGAAACAGCTGAAGCACCAGACACAGACAAGCAACCCGCTTCTGGAGGAACGGTAGGAGAGCCAGCTGCAGACACACAAGCAGGGGCGCTGCAACAGCCACCCAAAGAAGATGGGACGGCCCCTCATACAGAGACTGGAGATGAAGGTGCCGCTTCTGGCCACCATGAAGACAAAGATCACGCAAGACAAGGAGCGGAGCCCGATCGGCGGCCAGCGTCGGAAGAAGATGAAAACCCTGCTTCACTTCCTAAGGCTAACGGCGTAACCGCTTCCAACGAAGATATACCAGCGCCGCCGAAACCTCGTGAAGACGAACGGGAGGATCCAGACTCCCAAACGGGAGGGCCAGAAGCTAGATGAAAGGTTGAATGCCTTTAACGGGTTAAGCCTCGTTCTAGCACTGAGCTGCAACAAGGAAGGTGCCGCTGGCAAAGATGCACGCGAGCTCTCCTAGGACTCGCTTACATCTTTGTCATGCATATGAATATGCATTTGTACGTGTGTATATGCTGTAAGGGGCAAGCAATGTGCGCCATCTGTGAAACCCAAGTCTCTGCTAGCAGGGTGTGGGACGCATGATGCGTCAAAGCATGCGGGTACGACCTGGAGGACGCGAGACACTAAATGTAGAAGCGTCTGTATATTAATAGTTTAAAAGAATAGAAGAGTCTGATATCGAGTCTTAAGGTGGAATTTGGATATGTCACTGCTTATTTCAGTTTCATCGAAATTGTGGCTATTTCCATTTTCCTACTGCTGTGCCAGATTTTATTCAATGGAAAGGACTCAATATTGTTTTGTAAACGATTTTAAGACAACTTTTGAGCATATGTTTTTGTCTAGTTTGCTCAGTATTCAAACTGGATTCACAGCCGAAACGAGTTGCAATCCACATAGATGGAAGAAGGCGACGAGGGTAGAAATCACTGATTTCATGAACTGCGGAATCTGGAGTCAATTTGGTACGGAGCTCTCTCTATCTCTTTAGAAGTTTTCGGATGGCAGAAGCCTTGTCAACGGAAGCTGCAGGTGCTTAGAGTACAATAGTTGCATCGTTGACGATGCGTCAAACTCACCTTAGCTGAGAAGAGTCTACTGGATATGAAGAGGAATTTCGCGATATTCAACAAGAACAAGACCTACTGAATCGGCTACTCAAACCCCACGGAATATCTACATTAGAAGTTAACGCTCCTATGCGACCACATACTAGGGCAAGCAATGTGCAGGAATATTTCTCCAAGATGTGTAGCGCATAAAGCTGACAGCCCGCAAATCCCGCTGCATGCCTACTCTACTGCGATTCCTGCTACTGTGACGGATGATGCACAAAGCCCATGGGAACTTTCGGCCAGGATCTGTCAAATATAGACAAGAGGCGGCGGAAATGAGAAGCTCGTGATGGGTACTTTTTATTCACAGCCACGTAACAGCACTTGGTGAGAAGTGAAGTTGATGCTGTATGAGGCTTGGTACGGCGAGCCACCAGGACCATCGTAATCAGTGAAAAGTCGCGTGCAACGAACTTGTGGGAAGCTATGTGCAAGGACCGTACAGATGAAACGTTATTGATTGGTGAGGCGACGGTGCACAGCCTGCGGTGTCTGCAAAAAGCAGCAAGTTTCACCAGCGTTAGAATTCATCAACGTAAGCATAGTGGCCAAGCATTTAGTTCTTGGCAAGTGTAGATAGAATCGCCACCCACTATAGACACCTCTCTTACGGGAAGCTCTCCCAAATGAACATCTGCCAAGAACGCAGCCACAATGGAGTCAATTACGATATACACCCGGGGAGACGCATGGTGGGGCTCCATACGTCTGTTAGAGATATCTATGTGCATATGCATGTGCATATATATATATGTAATCCATGCTTCATTTTCTTGCTAGAAATGTTAAAACGGCCTTCAAATGATGTATCGTCCTCTCCAAGTTGGAAGTGGGCACGCAGCCAAAGGGTGGCAATCGAGACTGCGGCGTTTTCACCCGAGCAAACACGCCAGTATTGCAAGCTTCTATAAAGACTGAGAAAACAGCGGAGGCAAGGCAAGCGCAGTTGCACCTGCGCCTGCTGTAGCCATCTGCAAACCTATGCGCGCACACGAAAGCGTGCGTTGGCTAGAGTTTGCTGGGGTGATGTGTGCGCAGATGGGTGAATATTTGCTCGTGTATATGCGTAGATCCATCTGTGTAAGTGCATATGGCTACGTGAGGGAATACTCTCGTGGGAGTGCATATTTGTTATCTTTCGCCTAGGAGGGGTGTATGCACGTTCATCATCATTCGCACGAGAGGGCAGGGTGACAAGGCCGCATCCAGCCTCACCTTGGTGCATTTATATTGATTAATATGCGTGAGCTGCTGTTTCAATCGAGATATCTTTGTTCTTCAGTTCATTACTATTCCGCCTCTCTCACGGTGCCTCCCCACGCAGAAGCCCGCCGTACTCGGTAGAAGTACTACAACAAGTGGCTACGAGACTCACGAGTTGTGAAATACCAACTGCAACATTCAACTTATAAGCAAAACTTGAGAAGCATAAGCTTCTGAAGAACGCAGATGAGCATAGAAGACGAAATGAACAAGGCCCGCCCTGCTCGGCTGCGGGACTAACAGTAGCATACAGCCCCGACAAGGTTGACGTACTCTGTGGATGGGTACAAGAAGACGTGAAGTGGCAATAGACAAAGCTGTTTATTTGAATAAGTATCAAAGAAAAAGCTTTCAAGGTTATGCTGGCAAGAGCTTGTCTGGGTCGGTATTACTTCTAGTTAGTCCTTTCAGGGTCTCGATCTGTGTTGGGCGGTAGGCGTCTAACACCCAATGGCAATATCAAACACGGCATTGTTTCCTATTTAGAATAGGAACACTTCTTTTATTTGATCTTTTCATTTTCTCCAACCTACCGTGTCTCAAGTTTCCGACAAACAAACCGCGAGTAACCCTCCGCGTGCACGTGCTAGCAGTGAGCGCTACACGAGCTGCGGTATTCCGCTTGCGTTCTTCTTTCTCACGGAATCCTGAGTGATCTATTAGAAACGCAACATCCTCTGTATTACTTCCAGTTACACCTTTATCGACGTACTCCCCCTCGATGAGCCGGCCGTGCTGTAGCTCCCGGACGTACAGTTAGCTCTCGGGCAGAGTAGCCTAGACTCCTGCAGCAGCGAAGAAGAAGATTCTTCTGCTTCACCCTGAGAATGGCAACTTTGCGACGAGCACTCATTACCGGCATTACGGGACAAGACGGCTCGTAAGTCTGCAGAGGCTGACAGGCCGCGCAAGCCAATCACTGAACTAGCCATCTGTGAGATGCGAGCAAACCCTCATGCTCAGGTTTACTCAGAGTGTTTCTTCTGAAATTTGGAATTGCGTGGGGGGTTGTGTAAGTTTGCTTAAAGCCCCTGGGTTGTGAGGTATGGAGGCCGCAGATTCTTCTCCTGCTGCAATGCGGCGTCGGTGTACACGTTGTCTTGCAGGTACCTCACAGAGTTCTTGCTGCAACAGGGATATGAAGTGCACGGCATCATTCGACACAGCAGCACAGCCAACACCGAGAGACTCGTGTCTGTATCCGACCGTACGCAGGGTCTTGCATCCCCTGCTTGCCCGTCCTTCTTAACTGGGGTCTCAATAGACATTAGAACACGTGCACTTGCGGAACATTCAAGTGTACAGGCATCTTAGTGTTTTGAGAGTTGAATCCGAAGGCTCTAATCACGGCAACACCTTAATTTTTGCTGTCTTTGCGCCCTTGTGTATATAGGGATACATCTGCACCTTGGAGATGTCGTGGATTCAACTTCCCTCTTTGAAATCATTTCGCGCGTGCGCCCCCACGAGGTGTATAATCTAGCTGCTCAAGTGGGTTCTGCTTCAGTTGTGCTGCTGCTCGTGCTGCGCATTCGGCGAGCCCGAACTGCCTTGGCTCCCTCAGAGCAGCGCAGCGCCTCGTTTCTGCGATATACGGTGGGGGGCTAATGAACGAGATGTTCTTCTTTGCTGCATGTGCATACGACAGAGCCATGTGAAGGTCTCATTTGAAATGCCTTTACTCACCACCGACTCGACAGCGGTCGGAGTGCTGCGCGTGCTGGACGCCATTCGGGCTGCAGGTCTCGCCCACGTGACGCGGGTGTGAGCAGGAGCTGCATGCGTGCAAGTGTTTAAGCTTCAGTTATTGCTTGCAGCTGAAAACTTGAGGTGCAGCGTTCCATGCGAATCTCCTTCTCTGCTTGCCACTGCAATCAGAGAAGAGACGGTGGTTAGTCTTTCGCCTCCACTATCTTCAATCTCCTGTACAACTCGTGGGCAATTTGGTTTTGTTTCTCTTCTCCAAGCGATGACTATTTCTAGGCAAAAACAAATGCCAGTCTTTTGTGTCTTCTGCTTGCCTCTGCTCCTGTGTCTTAGGTTCCAAGCTTCGTCGTCGGAGATGTTTGGGTCGAGTTCAGTGGAGCTGCAGAACGAAGAAACTCCTTTCAAGCCTTGTTCTCCCTATGGTAACATGATTGCACCAGAAAGACCACCTGGTCTCTTTTGCCTAGCTTCTTCTGTCCTTCTGTCGTGTTCTGCTGCTCGTTCGACACGGTGGGAACGGGGCTATGCAGCATCTCGCGTTCTGCTTCTGCTTCTGCTTCTGCTGATGCTGATGATGCACAGGTGTGTCCAAGCTGTATGGACACTTCACGGTGCAGACGTATCGCTCAGCATATGATATGTTCTGCGTTAGCGGCATTCTCTTTAACCATGAGAGCCCCAGGAGAGGCACCACGTTTGTCTCGCGAAAGATCACCATGGGCATTGCCAAAATCCTTAAAGTGAGCCTATCTAAGCAGCATTCGTCTTCGGCTCCTATGGGGCGCCTACTACCAGTTTGTTAGCTGAGGATAGAGTTGCTGGGTTACTTCACAGCTCCGCAATCTTCTCTTTGTTGCGCTCCACTCTCTCCTCTGACTGGCTGTGTATTGAGATTTATTTGTGAGACGAGACAGAGACACCCGGCGAGGCGGCACTGCAACTTTTATATGTATACTGTGCATTTTAGGGGGAGATGAATTGTCTCGAGCTGGGAAATCTGGACGCTCGCAGAGACTGGGGTCATTCGCGTGACTATGTGAAGAGCATGTGGCTTATGCTACAGCAGAAGGTTCCCAAAGATTACGTCGTGGCTACGGGTAGGGAATGCATCGTTATCTCCAACTAACCCTCATACTCGCTGTTTTCACGAAGATAGCGCCTCGCCGCATGCGCAAGGCAGACAGGCAGCCAGGCAGGCACAAGCGATATATGTATACATGCATATATATACAATACTGAAGCATAGCCTTATGTGGGATTGACAAGCAACGACACCCGTTGAGGCCCTTCTTTCTCTCTTGTCTTCTGCAGGCAAACAACACTCCGTCCGGGAGTTCTGTCAACTGGCGTTCGCTATTGCGAATCTTCCTCTCCAGTGCGCCACACAGAATACCACCTTTGTCGTTGCAGCGGTAGCTTATCGCAGCTTTCCAACCGTATAAAAGGCTGCATATATATATATATATATATATATGCATATATACACACATATATATATATATATATATATATATATATACACGCCACACTGCCCTCCATGTTCAGCAACTGGTGTTGCACTTGGGGTGTTTCTGTTGTTCAACAAGCAATTTGCAGTAGAATGTACGGGTTGCGTAAATGAGTAATTTAGGCGTAGTTTTTGGTGTTGTTGAGGTGGAGTGGTGCATTTTTCCTCTGAGTGGCCTGACGGAGTTGTGCGGGGTTAGGGCCGTTGCAAATTGAACACCTGTTGTTGCTTGAACGGTGGTTGCCTCTCGCGTGTCTTGCTTATCTAAATGCAAAATAAAAGAAGCTTTGTTTGCGCTAGTGCAGCACAACTTGCGGTGTCTGCGCAGGTGGAAGGGCAAAGGCCTGCAAGAAGTGGGGAGCTGTGGGGATCGAGTTCTCGTGCGGGTCTCCTCTGCACATTTCCGCCCCACAGAGGTTAACGCTTTAAAGGGAGATGCCTCACGCATTCGATCCGAGTTGAACTGGCGCCCAGAAACCACATTTACTGTGCGGCTCCTCACCGCATAGCAGCAGCTGCTGCTGCAGCTTTATCAGTAGCAGTAGCAACAGTAGCAGAAACGGCAGCAGCAGCAGCAGGGGCCAACAGACAGAGCAAGAGGTGGTCTCGCGCTGCCCCGAATGTTTCCTTGCAGCGGTGGCCTTTGCATAATGCAACTGGTCAGTGGCTGCTGCTGCTTTACTGCTGTTGCTGCTCTACTGCTGCTGCTTATGCATTGCTGCATATGTGTTTCAGGAGCTGGTGCTTGAGATGCTGCAGTGCGACATGCGTCTTGCGGGTTTGCATCCCCCAACCGCATCAGAGTGCAACGAGCGGATAGCCAAGCACGTGGGAGGCTCTGCGGAACTGCTGCTTGACTAGCTTCTGTGCTGCTGCGGTGCTTCTGCAACAGCAGCAGCACAGCAGCAGCAGGTACGCGGCAGCTAGGAGCAGCAGAGAAGGCTGTGTAGACAGTGAGTGCCCCAGCTGGCGCACGTGTATAGACAAAGTCAACAACATGCCAGCGCAGCTGCCGGGTCCTTTAGGCATACTGCGTTGTTAGAGCGATAGCAGCAGCATCGCCAACAAGGATGCAGCAACTTTGTGCTCTGGACTTGTTTTAGATATAGGTCTCTTCGCCGAGACACACAAAACCCAATGAAGTCCCCGCGATTCAGCGTTGCTGAGACAAAACTCCGTGCTGTCTTGCAAGCACCCCCAACACTCACAGTATAGCAAACGGGCAGAACGCAGCCAGAAAGAGAGGCTTCTTCTGCGCATATAATCAATAGCAGCAGCAGCTGATTGAACAGCAGCAGCCGCTTCTGCTGAAGCAGCCTGAACACTGCAAAAAACAAACAAGCGCCTTCTACCCAGCAGGGGTCAGTGTTAGCGCTGGTCAAATTCTAGGCCCCTTTGCAGTGGCGGAAACAACAGCAACGGGATTTGCCGGAGCAGCAGCTGCATTCTGCTGCTGCAGCGCCTGATGCTCCAGCAAGCGTCTTCGCTGCAGACTGCTGCAGTGCTGCTTTCAGGCTACAGCAACTCAGTGGTCTTGCAACGGCTGCGCTGCAGTGGCTGGTTGTAGTTGCTGACCCTTTTGCTTTTCTTTCAGACGCTGCAACAAGTCGGCTAGGAGCTGCTGCAGAGCCACCACTCGTTGTTGCTGCATTAAACACAACAGCACCAACAGCAGCAGCAGTCCTTCAGCCGCCCCATTTAGGGAAACCCGCATATGCATATTGGTTTCCTATCCTATAAAGAATACAGGCGTTACTGCTGCTGCTTGTGCTGCTGCTAGTTGTGCTGCAACTGCACCACCCACCGCTTCCTGTACATTCTGCTGCCGCGCCGCCCTCGGCACTGGCGCCTGGTTGCTGCTGCACGAGGCGAGCTGCTGCCGCAGTGCGCAGTTCTCTTGGAGAAGCTGCTGCTGCTGCTGCAGTGCGGCATTGGCTTGCTGCAGCAGCTGTATGTACATCTCAGGACGAGGTGACCACGCAGGAGGTGCAACAATTTGCTGCTGTTCTAACTGACGCACTGCATTCGTGGGCACAATGGCCTCCTCGAGCCAAGAACGTGAAGCGTGAAGCGGTGGAGCAGCAGCAGCAGCAGCAGCCTGGTGTTGCAGTGCCTGCTGTTGCAGCGCCTGCTGCTGCAGGACCTGCTGCTGCTGCATCACAACACTAGGTTGCTGCTGCTGAGCTGGAGCAGGCTGCTGGAGCTGCTGCAATTGCTGTTGCGCGTGGAGCAGCTGCTGCTGCAGGAGTTGAGCTGTCTCCTTCAGTCGTTTTTTCTTGTCGTGCTGATGCTGCATGCGTTTAAGCAAAGATGCGTAGTGGAAGAAGAGGAACGTTGGGTCGGTTTGCTGCATGCACACACCCAGACACTTCTTCTTTATATGCTAAAGCCAGTACAACTGCTGCTGCTGCGGCTGCTACTACTAGTACTAGAGCACTGCTCTCTCTTGCAACTCAGGTGTACAGGCAGCACCTTGGCCCGCCGTAGAAGAGTCGTTCCATCGATGTAGGCGCTGCTCGCTGCTGCCTCTCTCTGCTGCTCCAGCAAGTGGTCCCCCTGCTGCAGCTGCAGCTGCTGCTGCTGCTGCGCGCCAGACAGCAACAGCCACGCGCTGACTGACTCGGAGCGACGAGCCGGGCAGCCGACACGCTGCAGCGCGGCCTCGAAGTCTTTGAAACCAACTCTCTGGCTGCCGTGGAATGCAGCAGGAAAGACAAGAGAGACAAGAGCCCTAAGCTGCTGCTCCTGCTGCTGCTCTTGCTGCTCCTCTTCCTGCTGCTGCGCCGTCAACACGTACTCTGAAAATGTTATCTCGCACAGCTGCCAGAACGCAAAGAGAGTACCCAAGGCAGAGTTCTCTCGGTGCAGCAAAGGGAACAATGGACCTGCTGTGGGCAGCAGCGGCTTGCTGCTGCTCAAGTTCTGTTTGCTGCTGCTCCTCGCTGCATTGTTGCTGTCGCTGCTGCTCCTGTTTGTGTTGGTGACCGCCTTGCTGGAAGACGAACCGCCGCTGAGAGGTCTGAGCCTTGCTTGATAGTACGCACGCTGCGCTGCAACTTGCTGCTCCAGCGACTTTATGCGGCCCTGCAGCAAAGCACTGACACACGTGTTACTGCTACTGCTGCTTCTGCTGTTCCCTCTGTTGTTGTGTCTGCTCCTCCTGCGTATCTAGTGCTGCCTGGTGCTGCTGCTTCGGTGCAGCTAAAGCTGAACATCTCGTGTGTACCTGCAGCAGCCGCTCCTTTGTTGCTGCAGCACAGGACACCTGCTTCAGCTTCTGCAGCAACTCCTCCCTGTCGTCCTTCACCTCAGACGCCTCCATCTCCGCTGCTTGTGTCTCCCTTGCTGCTGCTGTTGCTGCTGAGGGGGCTTCGCGCAGCCGTGGAAGGCCGTCGTGCTGCTGCAGTGCCGAGGACCTGCTGCTGCTGGTGCTCATGTCGCCTTCGCCGCCCTCAGTCTCCCCAACGCCCCGCCCCGCAGACTGCAACAGCCTGAAGCCCAGAAGCAGTACACACAGCAGCACAACAGTCAACAGCAACAGTAGCAGCAGCCGCAGGAGCACGCGGGAATAGCTCACTAACACGCAGCAGGCGCACCAGACCCTTCCTCCTAATCCTAAACCCTAAACCCTAAACCCTAAACCCTAAGTAGTACTTCTGTAGTTCTGCGTCCTTGGCAGAGATGACCTCTTCAAAGTGCTGCCGCTGGCGCCGCAACTCCTCCTCTAGTTGCATGCGCTCCCCAGCAGCCTTTGCTTCCTACGACAAAGAAAAAAGAAGACAAGTAGAGGCAGCAGCACGCTGCAGCACAAACGAAGGGCCTTCGCCTAAAACCTAAGCTGCTGTCGCCGTATTCAGGTGTACATATAACATGCATGATAGGTCAAGAGAGGCCCCTCACCGCACAAATAACGAGCTCGTGGAGGTCTTGCAGCTCCTTTGCCACTGCTGCACTCTGCTGCTGTTGCTGCTGCTGCTGAGCTTCCTGCTGTGCACCAGGAGGTGAAGGGCTCTCCTGCTGCTGCTGCTGCTGCTGCCGCAGCTTTTGCTCCGCCTCTGCAAGGGCCGCCGAAGCGAGCCGAGACCTCATTTCCAGCTCTTCCTGCAGCAGCAAGAGAAGCAACGAAGACAGTAGCAGGCGCTGCAGCAGGCCACCAGCTGCAGTTGTGCACACCACCTCAACGCAGCACAGCCTGAAACCAAGCCTGTCCAGCAGCAGCAGCCGCAGCAGCAGCTCGACTAATATAGTCGTGCACCCTACGTGCAGCAGCGAGTTGTCATGCTCGGCAGCCTCCAGCCGAAGCCGCTGTTGTCTGTGAATCTGTTGCAGCTGCTGCAGCTCATCCTGCTTTGACGAGAGTAGGAATTCGAGACGCTGCTGCTGTTGCTGCTCCCTCTGTTGCTGCAGCTGCTGCTGTTCTTGGTGCTCCTTTAGCCGCTGCAGACCACAAACAGGAGCAAACAAAATGAACGGTCACCTGGGGGAAAGAAGATAGGCTCGAAAGCAACAAAAAGGAGAACGAAGCAACCAGCAAACGCAGACAGCAACAGCAGCAGCAGCAGCAGCTCTCCTTGCCTGAGTCAGCTGCATATTTTCTACTGCGTAGCCCCGCTGGATCTTCTCTAGGCTCTCGACCTCACGCTGCAGCATCTGCACTTGCTGCAACAATTCCTGCTTGCTGATGCTGCTGCTGCTGCTGCTGCTTGTGGACTCGGCCGACCCCCCATGGCGCTGGTGCCCCTCGAGGCCTGCGCGACAGCAAACACATGATTCAAACTACAGATGGGCTGCTGCAGCAGTAACTAGCAAGCAGCAGATGCATGCAGAAGCAGAAGGAGCAGCAGGAGCAGCAGCAGCGTCGCTTCACTACCTTTTCGGGTGTCTGTCTGGCCCTCGAGCTGTTCCTGAAGCAGCGCCTTCTCATTCCGCAGCTCCAGCAGCTGCTGCTGCTGACGCTGCAACACCTCTTCTTGCTGCTCCAGCAGCAGCTGCTGCTGCTGCATTTGCTGCACAAGTTGCTGCTGCTGCCTCTTGTAGGTTTCAAGTTCTCGCCTTATCAACGGAAACGGCTTTTCGCGGGGGCTGCCTTCTTCTGCTGTTTCGCTGCAGCTGGCGCTGCTGCTGCTCCTGCTGCTGCAGCTGCTCCTGTGGGTGCTGCGCCTCCCGCTTCTGCGCTGTTTCTGCTGCATCCTAGCGACCATCCTCAGCTCTCTATGAAGCAGCACCTTGCGCTCTCTTTGGATAAGCACTTGCTGCTGCTCCTGCTGCAGCTCTTGCTGCTCCTGTAGCAGCGCCTGCTGCTCTTGCTGCTGCTGCAGCTGCTGCTGCAGCATACGGAAGTGCTCCTGCTGCTGCTCAGCTACCGCCTGCAGCTGCATGCGCTCTCTGGATAGGTGCTCCTGTTGTTCAGAAAGTTCTGCGTCGAGCTGCTGCAGCTTGTCCCGCTGCTGTTCCAGCAGCTGCTGCTCTTGCTGCAGCTGCTCCCTCTCCTCCTGCAGGCCCCGTCGTTGCTGCTGCTCCCTCAGAAGGGACTGTAGTCTCTGCTCCAGCTTCTGTATCTCTTCTTCGTGCTGCTGCTGCTGCTGCTGCAACTGCTGCTTTGCCTCTTGCAGCTGCTGCTCCCTTTGCTGCTGCTCTTGCTGCTGCTTAAGCAGCTGTTCCCGCTGTTCGTCGAGCTTCTCCTGCTGCAGCTGCAGCTGTTCCTGCCGCAGCTGCTGCTCCCGCTTCTGCTGTTCAACTTGCTGCTGGTGTTGCAGCTGCTGTTCTTGCAGCAAATGGTGGGGTTGCTGCTGCATATCCTGCACCAGCACCTCCTTTTGCTGCAGGTCTTCGTCATCTACCAACTCCGCAATGTCCTTATCGTCACTGTTTTCTCGCTGCCGCTGCTGCAGCAGCTGCCGCTGCTGCTGAAGTTGCTTCTCCCGCAGTTGAAGCTCGCGCTCTTTGGCATGGAGGGTTCGCTGCTGCTGCTGCTGCTCTTGCTGCTGCTGATCAAGGAGGCGCTCCTTCTGCTGCAGCAGACGGTTTCGAAGCTCAGTCTCCATACGGCTTGCATGCGACTGTTGGTAGTGCTGCTGTTGCTGCTGCTGCAGCTGGCGCTGCAGCATTTGCTGCTGCTGCTGTTCTTGCTCCAGCTGCTGCTTCAGCTCGTGTACCTGAGCAGCGTAGCTCTCCTGCGTCTCTACTAATTGCTGCAACTCATCGAGTTGCTGCTGCTGCGCTGCTATCTGCTCCCTCTGGTCTTCTATTAGCGTCTGCTGCGCCTCAATCAGCTGGTGCTGCTGCTCAAGCTGCTGCTGCTGCTGCTCAACCTGCTGTTTCAGCTCCTTGAGATGCTCTTCCTGCTGAGCAACCTGCTGCTGCTTCACAACTAGCTCCTGCTGCAGCTGCGCCTGCTGCTCCTCTGCCTGCTCCTGCTGCGCCGCAGCTTGCTGCTCCAGTGATGTGAGCTTCTGCTGCAGGTCTTCTTGCTGCTGCTGTTGCGTCTGCTGCAGTTCCGTTTCGTGTTGCTGCTGTTTCTGCTTCTCCTGCTCAACCTGTTGCTGCTGCTGCTGCAGTTGCTGCTGCGCAGCTTCCGCCTTCTGCAGGGCCTCCTGCAGCGCAGCATTGGCTTGCCGTTGCTGCTCTTGCTGCTGCTGCACCTCGGAAAGCTGCTTCTGCAGCTGCTGCCGCTCCTTTTCCTGCTGCTGCTGTTCTGCAGCAAATGTGGTCTCACGCTGCTGCATGCAGCGCAGCAGGTCCTCCTTTTCGACCCGCAGCGCCTCCAGCTGCTGCTGCCACCGCTGCTGTTCCCGTAGCAGCAGACTCTGCTGCTGCCGCAGCTCTAATTGCAGTGTATATGCTTCATCCATATGGCCAAACTCTGAGTTTGGCTGGCTGCTACTCGTATCCAGGTCTAGCTGCTGCTGCTGCTGCTGCTGCTGCAGCTCAAGGGGAGAGATGTGCTCCTGCTGAAGCGGGTTGCTGCTGCTGCTGCTGCTGCTGCTGCTGGCCATCGATGCAGCTGATGCTTGGGGGGATGGCCCTCGGAGTTTGCATCCCCAGGAGGCAGCGGGTGGTGGTGCTTCAAGCTCTGCTGCTGTTGTGCTACCCTCGAATGCTGCAGCAGACCTTTCCAGTGTACGTACACTCGAGACAGCGGTATCTGAAGAAGGAGCTTCTCCAGAGAAAGGAACAGCAGGAGACGGCAGATACATCTCGGGTGGGAATGAAGGAAAGAACTCAGACACTTCATCTGCGTCTGCTGTTGCTGCTGCTGCTGCTCCTGCCTCGCTGGCCGCAGATGCATCAACTGCTGCAGCACGTTCTTCTTCCTCAAGGGCTGAAGGCATAACTGCCCCTGCAGTTTCCTTACAAGGTCCCTCCCGCACACTGCTGCTGCTGCTGCTGCTGCTGCTGTTGATGCTGCTGGAGGCCCCCGTGTTGGAGAGCAAACCATCCGTGTTCCTGCTGAGCTCGGAGTTGCTGCAGCCTTCACTGCCCTCCACAGACGAAGGAGAATCTGCGAGCCTCTCCGAAATGGCTCTACTTGAGGGCTCCATCTCCTCAGCAGCAAGAGCAGCAGGCGCAGCAGCAGCAGCAGCGGCTGCTGCCGCTGCAGTCACAAAGGCTGCTCTCACTATTGCTGTCGGGGACACCGCGCACAACCCCTTCCTATGAGGCCCTTCAGGCCAGCTCTACTGAGAACAAAGGCAGCAGCAGATGCAGCAGCAGCAGATGCAGTAGCAGCAGTGGTAGAATGACCACCAGTGAGGGCGGTCAGCCCGTACCAGCAGCAGCAGCAGCAGCAGCGAGAGTAGGAAAGACAACAGCTGCACCTGCTGCAGCAGTGGTTGTTGCTGCCGTCTCAGCTGCTTTGCCTAAACAGAAAAAGGAGGGGAGGAGGTTTGCCTTTGGGGGCCCCCAGTGGAGACGCGAGGAGACAGCGAGGGGCGAGTAGGGGCTGAGGCTCAGAGGGGGCCCCCTAGGGGCCTCAGTTGTATGTAGATTTGTATAGCTTTAAAAGACACAAATTTATATTTCTTCTTTCTATAGTCTTAACAACCACCTCTAAACCCAACAACAACAACCAGCCCCAGAGGTGGTGCTGTGCATATAGGGGGCTGGGGGCTGGCTGTGCGTTGCAGGCCCCTAAGAACTTTTCTCTCTGTCTTGTTCTTATGGAGTTTGTTTGTTTAAAATCAATAAGATCATTAGTAGAAATAAAAGCAAAAGAGAAAAAACAAAGAAAACGCTGGGCTACGCAGCACAAAACTCTCTGCCTGTCTTGAGGGCCCCTGTGTAAGGGGTCTCCTTTAAAACAAACATATCTTTAAACTACTATATAAGCACAATCAACTGAGGTGTAAAAGGACCTCTGGTGTATCAGCGGTTTAGAGGATCAAGTGCGGCGCGCCTACGTACGCACGCAGAAACTGAGGTGTGTGTACACCGCAACTTAGGGATGGGGTTTCTACAGAAACTGCCGCCGTGGGTACGATGCACATGCTGCAGACACCGCCGCCCCACGCGCTCGACATCATCTGCTGCTGCTGCTGAACAGCAGCAGCAGCAACAGCAGCAGCAACAACAACAACAACAGGCGGAGGAGGGGCGGGTTGGAGCACTTGCGGCGTCTCCTCGTTCAGGTAATTCTTCTACCTTAAATGATAGCGCTGCAAATAGCTATATGAGAAAATATAACAGACGAGCAGCAGCAGCAACACCCTTTTCTATCTCCCTCGCCACCAACATGGGGCCCCCCCTACGTGAGGAAAAGAAGAAGCATATATAAGAAGGGCCCCCTTTCAGTACCCTCTCTCCACTGCTGCTCGTTGCATGCATCTGGAGACAGCCCCTAAAATGTTAGTACATTGCCTGCTGAAAGCATCTCAATAGAATAATAGAGACAGCCACAGTAGCAACAGCGTGCAGACACCTCATAGGAGATTATGCAAATAAACTAATTAAAACCTCAAGCAGTGCTGCAGCTGCATCTACAATTTACAGCTTAAGTTTTAGGGTTTAGGGTTCTCCCTTAGAGCATTTGCCTTTATAGTGCGGCCTCCTCCTTCTCCAGAGTAGGGTTTAGGGTTTAAGCCTTTACCGCTTGCTCCGCCGAGTTCAGCTCCAGGCCAGCGGGTCTGCAGCATAGCAACGATAGAAGGAGACACTCTCCTTGTACTCAGCGTGGAGACAAGAGTAAACAGAGAGGGGAGAAGGAGACACTTGAGAGAGAGACACACGGCAAAGAGACAAATGCATGCAGACCAGCAGCAGCACGCACGCTACAGGACACATCGCATGCAGCCCCAAGTTCTTAACGAGACGGCGCTGCAGTTGACGCTTACCTGTAGCACAGAGACCTCCCCCAGAATAAGGGTTTAGGGTTTAGGGTTTAGGTGTTGTTGTTGTTGCTTTGAGCTTCCTGAAGTGTATAGACAGCGAAATGGGTGGGAGCCCCAACTGAAGGCTGCTGTTTTGCCTGCTCTTGAGTTGAGTTTGCTGCGGCGCTGCTGTCTCTGCAGAGACACGAGGAGTAAATAGCCTCCAGGGTGAGAGCAAGAAGGGGGCCCCCACTGAGCCCCAAGTGACCCTAAACCCTACGCAGCAGCAGCAGCAGCAGCAGCAGGTGCTGACGACCGGAGATGGATTGTCTCCTTTCGCCGTGGCCATAATAACCTGTCCAGTACCTCCTTACGAGGAGGCGCTGCAGCATCTGCAGCTGCAGCAGCAGGAACAGCAGCAGCAACTGCAGCAGCTGCATATACAAGGAGAGTACTCACCGCTGCCCCCGTCCCCTGTGCCGATGCAGCAGCTGCAGATCCCCTCTCAACACGCGCTGTCTCCTCGCAACTTGCTGCGAGAAGAAGCAGGAGAAATGGGTAGCAAGGGGCCTATAGAGAGCTTCAGCCCCACCTTTGCAACGGAGCTCTTAGCAGACATTGAACTCGATGGAGACACGGGCACTCCTACTGCTGCTGCTGCTGCCGTTGCTGCGACAGCAGCAGCAGGGGCCAACTCGCTGCTACACATAGATGTCCCCGTGCAACATCAGCAACAGCAGCAGCAGCAACAGCAGCAGCAGCAGCAGCAGCAGTGCTGCTAGGACTTTGAACGAATTCACAGCTGTTTCGGAGGCCTTTGCTGCAGTGTACACTGTGGCAATAATAACAGGCGACTGCTTTCTGTCTCCTGCAATTAACTGTCTGTCTCCGCTCTTCTTTTCCTAAGGCAGACAGCAGCAGCAGCAGCAGCAGCAGGAACCCGCAGCAGCACAGCCAACAAGCTGTCAGTTCATTACCGCTGCATTTTTCTCTACTTGTTCCGGCTGCACTTGCTGCAGCTGAAACAAGTAGTTCTCCTACGCATATTATTTGTGCATATTATTTGCAGATCTCTTACGATAACAGTATCAGTGTATTCCCTATGGAGTGTAGAAATCCATATACATATATATATTATAGTATATATATTATGTTATATATATATATATATATGTATATTATATGCAGATCTGTATATATGGATGATAATACAGCATATGCATATAAATAATGTTATAGATTTGCATATATAATAATCACATATTATATGCGTAGTAGAATACGCAGTATGTGCATAATGCATATATATATTATGCAATATGTGCATATCTATATATTCTTATAGATGCGCTGCATGCTAGGCAAACATATTATACAGTGTATATATGCACAAATATATATATATATATATATATATATATATACTATACCGTGCAGCACGCGCCTATATATATATATATATATATATATATATATATATA